ATTTCTCCAGCTATGATAGTAACTAATTTATTAAGCCTGCTTTAAAGTAATTTAGTGTAATAACTGTAGAAATGAGGGAACAGGCGATGCAGCACGGTTTAAAAAAACACGTGCTGGAGTGAGTTTGGTGAGTTTTTCTGGGTGTGGATGAGAATATGGGCTCAGTGTGATTATGCTAATGTGTCAGTAGCGGATGTTGTTCTGAGCTGAGGGGGGTTGGTGGACACACACCATCACATGACCCGCACGTTCGCGCCTCTTTCGGAAACCTCCTGCAGCCTCAACACTCACAACACTTTCAAGGTAATGCGCATATTTAACTTATATATACACATACGTCCTAACTAACCCGTAAAACGAAACGTGTTTCTGTTCCTGTTCTGGGTGCCGTGTTTTGCTCTGTGATCCGCTCTCAGGATCTCACCGATAAACTTTTACTGTGTGCGCCTGTGTTTTCGTTGGAAAGGCTTTTGTGTGATAGAGCTGGGAAGCTACACGGTGTAACGCTGTAACGTTCCTAAACCTTATTTTTCTGCGTTTTTCCTTTTCTTTCGTTCTTTCTCGGTGCGAATACGCTCTACTAATATGTAAGTTACATGTACGTTTTCTTAATTTAGGAGAAACGCACCCATTTTGAACCATATTAGCAATTTGTGCTAACTACTGCTGGACTAATGAATCTTTAAGCCACAGCTAAACACCACCTGTTTGATTTACTAACAGTGCCGTGAGTTAACTGCCATATACTGGGACAAAGAATCATAATTTGGGAATTAACGTAATATTTTCACTATATGTGCCAGCAAATCATATTTGTACTCGCGTTGTTTGTTTGTTATGTTGAGTTATTTTAAATGCTGCTCACAGCCGTGCCTCCAGCTCTGTTGTTATTCACCCAGTAAGTTGAAACCGTCGGCCCTGAACGGCTCATCTCGGTCACTACGTATCCTAACTCGGTAGGTTTGATTATTTCCGACCCAGAGTGTCCTCAAACTCAGACTCAGGACTCACATGGCGCCCACACTGCCTTTAAACCGAGGACAGGTAGAGCCTACATAGGGGAAAAAAGTCGGTTATTCTCCAAAACCTTTACAAACCCGAAACAGAGCAGTGTAATACGTGTTATGAGTCAGATGTGTTCCCGCTATCACACTTTTAAATCCAGAAAACTGGAGGAGCTCTGTTAATGTAGGCCGTGACCCGCGGATAGTGCACACACAGGCTCTGTAGGATTTCAGTTTACAAATTTAGCATAATTAGCTTCGTGATTCAGCTGCTAACCGCTTTCCCTCGTTTTTAGACGCATATTCCTCTCATTTGTAAGCTTTGTTAAGCAGGACTGCTTGGCTTCACACGAGGCCACACTGCTCTTCCTTTTTGTTGAAGGCCCGCTGTACGACTGCAGATTTACCTGCCTTAATGTTACGTTTTTTAAATATGTGAACAAACCAGGAGGAAAAACCTCCAATTCTGATCCTCATGGTGTCTGCAAGTAAACAGGGCGTGTTTTCTTCACCACGTTCATTGTTCCTCCACGATAATGCAGACTCGAAGGAGAGAGACCTTCTGATCTGCTCGCGCCGAGGTCATTCAAACGATGGGCCTATATGTCTAGAGAATAACTGAGAATAATTTTTCCATTTTTAAATTTAGTTTGAGTTTTTTGTGCCATGTGCAGATCAGCAGACGTAAGTTGTGGATTGGTCCCACCCATCTCTCATTGGAGATCCTCCATTTTGAGCGCCAAAGGATGGTACGGGGCCCCAAGTGACCTAGAATAATGGAGCTGAATTTAGCTTCATAATTAGAGGAAAAATTGTTCTCACACTTTTCTTTTTTACGAAACTGAAAGGTTCCAGCATGTTTACTTCATTAAAAAAATCAATCACATGGATAAATTGTCGTTTTGTAGAAGTGTTAAATGACGCCTTTAATGACTGAAAAAATAGCAGAGCTGTAATTAACTTGAGCAGGTTTCCAAGTTGTGTTTAAATTAGGCCACACGTCGTGTTCCTTATAGGTTTTACATTCATCTTTTTACTGAGCCAAATAAGAAAAACCTACAAATAAGAACCTTTAAGAAATATCTAATACTACACTCTTAGCAAAATGGGTTTAACAATAGTAGAATCCTTTTTAGTGATTAAATATAACTGTTTAAAGAAGCATATACAACAGATTCTCCCATCAAAGAGAAAAACCATTTAACCATGCAAAGAACCGTTAATACGTTCATGGTACTATATATAAACCATATTTATATAATCTTACCTTTACTGAAGGACCATTTTTAGACTGTATAAGAAGCTATAATATATTAAACACCCACAGTATACCTATAGTAGTCTTGTGGTAATCTATATCACTTGTGTATTGTCTTGTGTATATTTTTTATAATAATGAAATGTTTCATGTCTCCTTTTTAGCTTCTTTTAACATCTCTATAAATAGTCTTGTTTACTCTTTTTACTCAGTTGTTTTGGAATTTGTATTGATGGCTTGCTGTTTCTTTTGTCCTATAGGTTGTATGAAGATGACTACGGATTCTGTTCATTCTGAGGATTTTCTGATTGGAATCAATGCCTGTAAGCAACATTAGCTTGCCTGTTATGCTTTTCCTGCTAAGGTGCATCTTGTGTAGTCAGTGAATTAGTCTAGTATCTACTGCGCTAGGTGCTCCTTTTGGCAGGAGAAACTATACACTCATCAAATGGAAGCAGAGAAAATGATTACTGAATGCTTTGTTCTGGTGTGGAGGGTGTACTCGTTCTACACTTGCTCAAACTGTTTTTTCTTTACATGCTCAATTTCTTTACATGCTCTTCACTCAGTGTGTGGATTGAAACTGTTTGTCCTGGCATTTCCAAAGTGCTCACAGTGCAGGTAGTGCATGTAGATCTACTGCAGTGTGTGCACTTCATGTATTGCCGGTCATCTGCTTCAGGACAGTTGGATCCATCACTGCGGGATGGCCCTGTTGCATGAAATGACGGCGAGTTTTGCAGGTTTGCATCCAGCTTTAATATAAACTGCTGTGCAAATCCATGCAAAACTGGCCGCTACAGGGTACAGACTACGTTAAAGAAACTTAGTGTTAAAATATGTTTGGGTTTGAATTTCAGTGCAGTAGTCTTGTATACATCTTCACTTTTTAGATGTTGCTAAAACAGATTATGTGGGTGCACAGTTAGTTTTAACAGCTGATGAGCACAAGCAGGCCTGGCCTGTTGCTCGGCTTTTGTTTTGCAATCTTGTTCTAGTGGAAGTTGCATGCAAATATTTGTCTTGCTGTTTTCGGGTGGATGACTTTGCAATTTTAACGGTAATTAAATCTTAAATGAAAAATTGCACGGTATCCATCTGTAATCCGCCAGATCCTATGACCTGCAGAGTGACATGGTTTGTTTTAAAATTAGGGGCATTTTTTCTAAGTAACTTAATCACCCAGCTTTTATCTATATATTGATCATGGATAATGCCCTTGAGCTTGGTGTTAGTACTGTTTAGAATACAGCATTAAGAACAGCAGATGGCAGTAAAGGTTCATGGTAACATACAGTGGTTCTCAGAACGTTTTGGGAATGTTGGGGAATGATCAGAGTTGTAAAATGAAGTTTTTTTTTTTCTATTGAATATTTATTAATGAGCTGTCATTGTATTTAATGTTGGTATTATAATAAAGTATTCATTACATGATATTCAGCTTCTCTAAGTGTAAGTTTTTCAAAACGTTTGAAGCACAAATGAAAGCTTCCCTTTGAAAATGTAAGAAGTTGAATAGAGCTTTTCTTTGGATCTTTTAGTAGACTACAACAGTAAGTCTCTGTCTACAGAAGTGTATTAGTCTTCAGAAAACAGTGCAAAGATTGGTCGTGTGTGTGTGTATGTACGTACGTATAGTGGCCTTATACCAAGAATCAGATCTGTGTGGTATTGAATGAGATCAACATAATGAAGTTTGCTACAACCAGAGGTCAGTCGAGTAACTTAAACCCTCACTTGTATACTCAAGTTACTTTTGTGAATGAAGGACTTGAATAAAAGTGCCTTTTAAAAAATAAAACCTAAACAAATGTTGCAGGGGGTATTTCACAAAGCAGGATTTCTCAATTTAGCCAGATAACCTGAGCCTAAAGTCAAGCCTGTCCAAAGGGAAAAGAGCTGAGGGATATTCGTAATGGACAGAACTCATTTTTGGGCTTAGGTTGTTTGGCTAACTGAGAAATCCTGAGGAAATACTGAGAAATGTAAAGAACTGCAGTGGAACTTGTCAGTGCATCCAGCAAAAGCGTAGGAACTGAAGTTTGTTAGACTCTGTTCTTCTCTTTCGATGGTTCTTTTAGTCCAAAATAACACTTTAAACCTGAAAAGTGAGGTGTGACCAGTCACAAACCAGTACAGACGGTGTCATCAACGTAACATGAAATTAAATTTAAAAAGTGCTTAAGAACTGAAATGAAACACATTTCTTTCACAAATACACTTGAGTAGAAGTAAAACTTCGCTCTTTGAAAATACTCGGTGAACGTTGAAAAGTACATCAAATCCATAAAAATGTGTTTGAGTTTATGTAGATGAGCGGCACAAAATAAAACAGGCCTGTGCTGGTTGGCTGCGTCCAAATAGTTGAATGAAACGTCCTTCCTGTCTACTTTCCTTGCTTTTGCTTGATCTGTAGCTCATGGCTTCGATAAATATACGGGCAGAACCGACTAGCATGTAGATCCCCATGGCTACCAGATCGGGCAAAATCACAGCAAGCAGAAAGGAAAGTCCCGTTCAACTATTCAGACGCAGCCTCTGAGTTACAGAAACCTCGAAAGAAAGATGAAACCGTCCTCTTAGGCTTTTACCCAGATTTACTGCTGCTGCGTGTAACGATTAAGCTGATTGTATTGAGTGTGTACGCTAGGGGGCGACAACAGTAGGCAGGTCTGCGCGCGTCTCCTACAATATCTGGCAACCCATGAGTAGCGCCCAATGTGAATGAGAGGGGAGTTTTAAAACGAGCAAAGCGGGCGCGTGGAGGCTGCTTCTTCACGCCAAGCAGCCCACTTCTGTCTGCTGTTTGAGTAGTTACAGAGCAGTACAGGGGCCGCGAAGAGCCGCAGGAAGAGCATGCAGCTTCAGGGCTGCCGTGTCCTAGCAGAGGAGGAGAAGCGAGGGAGCTTTACCAGCGGAGTGGACTTGGAGGCAGAATCAGGACTGAGCTCCTGCTGAACGACTGAAACATCTACTTTTGTTCCTAAAGTGTCTTCATTCGTCTGCGTTCCGTCTCCAGCTCGGGGGCTATGGCAGTCAGCATGAGTGGAGCAAACTTGGCGCTCGGTGTGGTTTTGTGCGCTCTGCTCGTGTCCTCCTCTCAGCCCAGCAGCAGCCAGGTGCTGCACTGCCACGAAGTGCGTTCATCCTTCCAGTTTCTCTACCCTGGCATGAAGTGGGCTCCAGAAACACCCGTCTCAGGTAAACGGTGCTCCAGGTGTCCTTTTGTTTCTTCACACCACTTGCGTTCAGACGCACAGCTTGAACCTGGGTTTTATTCTGTTGTTCACCAGGTTGTTTGTTTTTTAGTAAAGGGGCTTAAAATCATGAATTTCTTCTCTAATATATAAAAATGAAGTGGGACAAAGTGAATATATCCATGTGAAAATGGCATTTATTTATTTATTTCACATCTGTTAATTATAAGCATATAATTTTCCTTATAAATAACATCTGTAGTCACACTGAAAGAAACTATAAAACTACAGTACTGTATAACACTTATGTAGTATTTTAATTTGCTTGTAAAATTTCTAGTACTGTCTTATAGTTCTGTAGTAAACTATACTAACTATCTAAATTTACTATAAGATTCTTATAAAAATTCCTGTTGTATCACTATGGATTTTCCCCTAATGGTTCGTACTCAGTTTACATAAATGAATTCCCGGTTCTGCTGTCAGTTGCAGAAAAGCAATCACTTTGCTCTAAAAGAGTGAAATGAGAAGTAATTTTCAGCTTGTTTAACAGTTGTGGGTCTCAGATTTGCACAAGCTAATGGAGTGCTGTCAAAAGCTTTTGCAGCTGTAATAAGTCTACCTACTACACTCCTCCCCCGGCACATCAAGTCATATTCTTGTCATCCATAGGGGTGCAGGGATTGGCAGAGTCACCAGGGGAAAAGTAAATGTATTTCTCATCTTGTAAGCAGTGTGAATTACCCATCAAGCCGGAGAAAGGAGCTGTGCTGGTGGAAATTGTGTTAGCGAGTTTACTGGAGCAGCCACATTTCCCAGTAGAGAAAGTTGAGAAGATGGTTTAGATGAATTGATGGACAGGCTGGTTTACTCACACTCTGTTTGACGTCTCCCTCTCACTTCAGATACCGTTAATCCTGCCTCAGCTGCACACAGTAGAGGCAAGAGTGAAGATTGGCCCACAGAACTAATTCTGTAGCATTAGTGCTCCAAGCTTCACTTTGGAAAATTTAAAAGTGTAGCGGTTTCTGTACAGTTTTGAAAAGCAAAGGTATATCAAAGTGTAAAACTTAAGCAGTGATACACTCCTCTGACTTTTCTGGGGCTCTCTTTTTCCACCTTATGTGGAAACCACTGTCACTGAACAGTTCATTAATGGGTTAAGTTTCAGGTGTGGAACTTTTTAAAAATATATATATATTTTTACTTTGGGGAGTTGAAAGTGGAGACATGCTGTGGCAGTTCAGGTTTTTACTGTTTACAGCTCAGCTGCACAGCTTTATGAGGTCACTGCTTTGCATAAGCACATCTTTTGTTTACTTTGATAAAACATCTGGAGTTTATTCATTTTACTACATTCATAACACTTTAAATAAAAGTTTTGGTAACACTTTACTGTAAGGTACAGTTCATAAGGCTACATGATACCTACATTAGCTTGTCATGATACATGACATAACCCTTCATAAATGTTTATTAATGCTTATTCCAATAGACATTTCACTATGAATGTTACATTTGCCAATTTTGATCAAACTAGCCTTTATGACATGTTATGGTTAGGTCAGTTGTCATGACAAGCTTATGTAGGTATCATCTAACCTTATGAACCTTACCCTACAGTAAAGTGTTACCAAAGTTTCTTTGTCATGCTAATCCAAGTGGATTTAGTCCCAGTTTCTACATTTCAGAAATGTTTAGGTATCAGCATCAGTACCAGTATCAGAAGGGCTGGGCAATGTACTTTGGAAAAGTAGTGATGGCTGAATACTAAATGCACAGACTGAAATGTATTTAGTGATGTATTTCACTACAATACATAAAAAGTAACATTTTCAGAATACATTTATAATACATGCCAATAGTACATGGGGAAATGTTAATGTCCCACAAAGAATTCAGTTATTCAGAGAACAAAATTCTCTGTGTTATTTTGGCTCTCATCACCTGCTTAAGTATACTGCTGCTCCCATAATCCCACTGCCCTTTCAACAATTCACCATATCCCAATAAAAAAATCTTGCAAAGTTGACTATAAAATCAGTAGTAACTTGCCATGGAACGCATGCACATGTCTAGTACAACGCCAAAGATAAGCTTATCACTTGAGAATATGTCCAGAATGTGTCCTACTCAGTTCAGTCATCCCTAAAAATAGTTTACTAACGCTCAGATTAATAACTGGCTCATCACAGTGATTTATCAGTCTGTTCAGGCTTTAGAAGGAACTTCAGTGTTTTTTTTTTTAGTTTTTCTTTAGAGCAAGTCTTTACATGCTGCATGCTGATTTTAAAAGTTACTTAACAAACGCTGATGGTGTTTATTTGAAACGTTATATACTTTTTACATTTAGTGGGTAAGTGTTCTAGAAGTATTCTCCTGAAAATGTAAAAGGAATCCTGCCTTTACCAAATGTAACTTGGACCTTATTCCGAATATGTATTCCCAGTACTTGTGTTCCGTTACATCCAAACCCTGGGCATCAGCAAATATTGGCATGAAAAGTATCAGAAATCAGCATCGGCCTACAATTCGCATATCGGTGCATCCCTAGTTGGCACAACTATATAGCATAGTCTTCATATTTGGTTTATTTTCACTACAAACAGAGGTGCTGAATTGAGAGTTCAAACTTTATCTCAGATGGAAAAGAAGTAATTAAGATCTCAGCAAACACATTTGAGTTTGATGATGAATTGCTTCATGTCACGAGACTCTTGTTTCCTGGAACACATTTAGGCTTCAGCTTTATGTATTGGTCTGCGGTCATGAGGAATCCTGTTTCAGAGTTCAGTGAGAAACACAAATGCAATTTTACTTGGTAGTAAACCAACAGAGGAACTCATCTCATCTCATGTTAGCTCAGCTAACAGAGTCTGAGTGGCTTTCCCAGAGTGACATTTAATCAGAGGTAATGTTCTTCTTTTGAATTCTTTATATTTGCAATTTAAATTGGGACAAAAGAAGTTGCACAGCCCTGCGTACGCCATTTCATGTCCTCAGAGGGAGAAATATTAACATATAACCCTCGCTGGAGTTAGAGAGGAATGAAATGGGATAACTTACAGGAACAGGAAACGAGTATCAAAGTAGTCCTACATGCTTTTCTTAAAAGGCTTGCCATGTATTATGCATCAACTTGTTGGACCGAATCCATCAAATATAAAACCACATGTCCCTGCGCACCTGCAGTGTAGACTAATGTGAGGCAACCTTCAGTTAGTAGTTCAAGGGATGGCGTAATCATGATAAATGTAATTTATATCGCTTTATGGTTATCATTTCCTCCTGTTAGTCATTTTCAAGGGTTGTATTTGCCTATATGGCAGTTAATGTATTCTCAGTTGTTGCTTTAATGTCCTTTTAGTACGTTATCTATCATTGTTCACTGGTAAAGTGTTTTAAAAGCATTGTCATTTGAACACTTCCCAATTACGGCATTAAAGCTAATGCCCTTCTGGGTGCAATCTTGTAATTGCAAATTACACTAGCTTCTAGCATTAGCCAAACAAAACCTCACTGTTCTTTAGAGAGCGCTAACTGCACCAACTGAATGCGTGCTTTGTAGAGTAGCACGCCACAGGCAGTGTAAAGTCAAGCTAATCCTTTACACAGTCCAGGATTTTATGTACGGGAGCTGTAATTGCAGCTCACCATTTACCTGCATTTTGATTCATTACGTAAACTGATAGATGCAGTTCCACATGTTGCGTGAAATGTTAATGGAGAGTACTTGTACTGTGTCAGGCCATTGAAGAGTTTAAAGCTAATTGCACCACCCACTTCAATTTTTGCTGGAGTGAGGGTGCAGCGGAGTGAAAAAGCATTATGATCCACAAAATGCAAATGCTACAGAGCTGATGCGAAGAAACTGAAGAAACCAGTACATTTTTGCTAAGCCTGACATGTAGCGCATCATGCCGCATTAAGGTGAGGCCAATCATTACTTGCGCTAACAGGTTTGTAAATCAATAATGGCAGTGTAGTCTCTGATGGTTTTGCGAAACATTCGCTGCCTCCTACGCTCAGCTGAGAAACACAGGTCAGAGAGAACTGTGCCAATTTAACAGGCTGCCCGATCTGAACTCTATCCACGTATCTGGCCTTGGAGTGGTAAATGAATGCAGACAACCTTAATGTTAATTGGAAATGGGAGCGATTGCAGGCCCTGTAGTGCAGCTGTCACCTTCTTGTGATTGCACTCATTCCTCTGAGAGTTCAACACATATTGGGCGTTAGTAAGGATTTAATGCCTTGGTAGGTTTTCTCTAATACAATTCCTCACTATTTTAATCAGCTCATATCATGGAAAAAGCAAATTTTTTCTCTTTTGAAATAAGTTTTTGACATAGTATGTAAGCATTGTTTTAGTTTTAAAACGTGCCGTTCCCTCCCTGGTTAACACGGTCCAAATACGGAAACTAAACTGTAAAAACGGTGTCTTTTGAACACACACACACAAACATTGGTAGTAAAGTGAGTTGTACTGAAGAGCTCAGTGACTTTAAGACCCTATCCAGAAGTTACATTTTTTATTTTCTGTGACCCGAAAATTGATTTTGTGATGGCATCTTACCAGCTGTTTGAATACTGGACGAGATGATAGAAGCCGCTTCAAACACCCGCCGAAGCGGCTTCAAGCAGAGGATACACCAGTGTATCACTACAGATACACCCAAAGAGGACAGACAAACGCAGAGCAATCCAACTATACTTTCAATTCTGTGATTTCTATGGGTTTATATAATTATCTGTCTATTTTTGTAATTGATGTATAATAAAATAAAAAACACGGAGTGGAAAACCACACAAACGTAAATAGGTGGGCTCTGTGTAGCACCTTAGGGCATGCTTTGAAGTGAAAGTTATGGCTCATTTCATCAATAGTTGTCATCAAATTTAATGACGTTGAAAAGAAACAGCTGTCCCATTTGCCCAGTTTCTGCTTGTTCTCGCCATTCCTCCTGCTCCTTTCTTCTCCTTGATTCCTCTGTGCTTTTGTGC